ATGTGTGTATTGTGTCTGTATGTGTGTATTGTGTCTGTATGTGTGTATTGTGTCTGTATGTGTGTATTGTGTCTGTATGTGTGTGTGGTCTGTATGTGTGTATTGTGTCTGCATCCAATACCTAAAATATTTAACGTGGACTTCAGAACAGTATTTATATATATATATATATATATATATATATATATATATATATATATATATATATATATATATATATATATATATATATATATATATATATTTTATATATAACAAAGAAGTATGTCTGTGTGTTTGTTTGTGTGTTTGTGTGTGTGTCCGAAGAGAATCTCGTAAACTACTTTACCGATCTGTAGTGATGATGGATGGTGTTATATAGTGATGATGGATGGTGTTATATGTAGTGATGACGGATGGTGTTATATGTAGTGATGACGGATGGTGTTATGTAGATGATGGATGTTGTTATATGTAGTGATGATGGATGGTGTTATATGTAGTGATGACGGATGGTGTTATATGTAGTGATGACGGATGGTGTTATATGTAGTGATGATGGATGATGTTATATGTAGTGATGATGGATGGTTATATGTAGTGATGATGGATGGTGTTATATGTAGTGATGATGGATGATGTTATATGTAGTGATGACGGATGATGTTATATGTAGTGATGATGTATGTTGTTATATGTAGTGATGATGGATGGTGTTATATGTAGTGATGATGGATGGTGTTATATGTAGATGATGGATGGTGTTATGTGGTGATGACGGATGGTGTTATATGTAGTGATGATGGATGATGTTATATGTAGTGATGATGGATGGTGATATGTAGTGATGATGGATGGTGTTATATGTAGTGATGATGGATGGTGTTATATGTAGTGATGATGGATGTTGTTATATGTAGTGATGATGGATGGTGTTATATGTATGATGATGGATGATGTTATATGTAGATGATGGATGGTGTTATATGTAGTGATGATGGATGGTGTTATATGTAGTGATGATGGATGGTGTTATATGGTGATGATGGATGGTGTTATATGTAGTGATGATGATGGTGTTATGTAGTGATGATGGATGTTATATGTAGTGATGATGGATGTTGTTATATGTAGGATGATGGATGATGTTATATGTAGTGATGATGGATGGTGTTATATGTAGTGATGATGGATGGTGTTATATGTAGTGATGATGGATGGTGTTATATGTAGTGATGATGATGATGTTATATGTAGTGATGATGGATGGTGTTATATGTAGTGATGATGGATGATGTTATATGTAGTGATGATGGATGGTGTTATATGTAGATGATGGATGGTGTTATATGTAGTGATGATGGATGGTGTTATATGTGTGATGATGGATGGTGCATGTAGTGATGATGGATGATGTTATATGTAGTGATGATGGATGGTGTTGTATGTAGTGATGATGGATGATGTTATATGTAGTGATGATGGATGGTGTTATATGTAGTGATGATGGATGGTTTTATATGTAGTGATGATTGATGGTGTTATATGTAGTGATGATGGATGTTGTTATATGAAGTGATGATGGATGGTGTTATATGTAGTGATGATGATGTTGTTATAAGTGTGATGATGGATGTTGTTGTTATGTGATGATGGATGGTGTTATGTGTGGTGATGATGGATGTTGTTATATGTGATGATGCTGGATGTTTGTTATATGTGGTGATGATGATGGATGGTGTTATATGTAGTGATGACGGATGGTGTTATATGTAGTGATGACGGATGGTGTTATATGTAGTGATGATGGATGATGTTATATGTGGTGATGATGGATGGGTATGTGGTGATGACGGATGATTGGTATATGTAGTGATGATGGATGATTGTTATATGTAGTGATGATGGATGATGTTATATGCTTAGTAGTGATGATGGATGGTGTTGTAGTGATGATGGATGGTGTTGTAGTGATGATGGATGGTGTAGTGATGATGGATGGTGTTGTAGTGATGATGGATGTGGTGTAGTGATGATGGATGGTGTTATATGTAGTTATGATGTATGGTGTTATATGTAGTGATGATGGATGGTGTTATATGTAGTGATGATGGATGGTGTTATATGTAGTGATGATGGATGGTGTTATATGTAGTGATGATGGATGGTGTTATATGATAGTGATGATTAATGGTGTTATATGTAGTGATGATGGATGGTGTTATATGTAGTGTTGATGGATGGTGTTATATGTAGTGACGATGGATGATGATATATGTAGTGATGATGAATGGTGTTATAAGTAGTGATGATGGATATTGTTATATGTAGTGATGATGGGTTGTGTTATATGTAGTGATGATAGATGATGGTATATATGTAGTGATGATGGATAGTGTTATATGTAGTGATGATGGATGGTGTTATATGTAGTGATGATGGATGATGTTATATGTAGTGATGATGGATGGTGTTATATGTAGTGATGATGGATGATGTTATATGTAGTGATGATTTAATGGTGTTATATGTAGTGATGATGGATGGTGTTATATGTAGTGTTGATGGATGGTGTTATATGTAGTGATGACGGATGGTGTTTATATGTAGTGTGATGATGATGACGTTATATGTAGTGATGACGGGATGATGTTATGTAGTGATGATGTATGTTGTTATATGTAGTGATGATGGATGTTGTTATATGTAGTGATGATGGATGGTGTTATATGTAGTGATGACGGATGGTGTTATATGTAGTGATGATGGATGATGTTATATGTAGTGATGATGGATGGTGTTATATGTAGTGATGACGGATGGTGTTATATGTAGTGATGATGGATGATGTTATATGTAGTGATGACGGATGATGTTATATGTAGTGATGATGGATGGTGTTATATGTAGTGATGACGGATGGTGTTATATGTAGTGATGATGGATGATGTTATATGTAGTGATGACGGATGGTGTTATATGTAGTGATGATGGATGGTGTTATATGTAGTGATGACGGATGGTGTTATATGTAGTGATGATGGATGATGTTATATGTAGTGATGACGGATGATGTTATATGTAGTGATGATGGATGATGTTATATGTAGTGATGACGGATGATGTTATATGTAGTGATGATGGATGTTGTTATATGTAGTGATGATGGATGGTGTTATATGTAGTGATGATGGATGGTGTTATATGTGGTGATGACGGATGGTGTTATATGTAGTGATGATGGATGATGGTATATGTAGTGATGATGTATGTTGTTATATGTAGTGATGATGGATGGTGTTATATGTAGTGATGATGGATGGTGTTATATGTAGTGATGATGGATGGTGTTATATGTGGTGATGACGGATGGTGTTATATGTAGTGATGGATGATGTTATATGTAGTGATGAGATGGTATATATGTGTGATGATGGATGGAGTGTGATGATTGATGGTGTATATGTAGTGATGATGGATGTTGTATGATGATATGTAGTGATGATGGATGGTGTTATATGTAGTGATGATGGATGTGTTATATGTAGTGATGATGGATGTGTTATATGTAGTGATGATGGGTGGTGTTAATGTAGTGATGATGGATGTTGTTATATGTAGTGATGATGGGTGGTGTTATATGTAGTGATGATGGATGGTGTTATATGTAGTGATGATGGATGATGTTATATGTAGTGATGATGGATGTTGTTTTATGTAGTGATGATGGGTGGTGTTATATGTAGTGATGATGGATGGTGTTATATGTCCTGATGATGGATGATGTTATATGTAGTGATGATGGATGATGTTATATGGAGTGATGATGGAGTTGTTATATGTAGTGATGATGGGTGGTGTTATATGTAGTGATGATGGATGTTGTTATATGTAGTGATGATGGGTGGTGCTATATGTAGTGATGATAGATGATGTTAATGTAGTGATGATGGGTGGTGTTATATGTAGTGATGATTAGACAATAAAATAATAACAGTTTAATGCTAAAAAAATATACTTTGCTGTACCGTTGTAGTGAAAAACATGGTGGAACTTACATACACTGTTAATGAACTATTGATGGAAGAAGTAGTTTTGGGGACTGAACAGTGAGACAATGTGGAGCCTCCCGGAGGGTGGCGTCCTACTGTGGCCTAGCGAATGAGCCGCCCGGAGAAGTGTTCAGACACCCTATCCACAAACATGAGAGTACATCTACAAGGAGATCAGGATGCTGGACGGTTTTCAAACCTTCTACTACAGATTGGGAATGGAACTTTCCCTGTTGATTCAGAAGGACAAATAATCATTTCTCAAGGATGTGGAAATGTTGTAAAGTCCTCAACTGAGCTCACTAACATGGTCTACCCAAACATTATCCACCACTACAAGGATCACAAGTGGCTGCGTGAACGCGTATTTCTGGCACCAAAGAATGAAACAGTGGGTGAAATCAACATGACTCTACTCAGACAGCTTCCAGGCAGTCAGACCTCATTCAAATCTGTTGATACAGTAATCGACCAGCACCAAGCAGTCCAGTACCCTGCAGAATTCCTTAATTCTTTGGAGGCCGCTGGAATGCCTCCTCTCCACCTCACTCTCAAGATTGGAACGCCTATAATGATCTTAAGAAATCTTGAACCACCAATCCTCTGCAATGGCACAAGACTGGTGGTGAAGAACATGATGCCACATGTACTGGAAGCTACAATATTGACAGGAAAAGCTAAAGGAGAGGACGTTTTTATACCAAGGATACCTCTCATCACCACTGACCTGCCATTTGAGTTCAAGCGACTTCAGTTCCCGGTTAAAGTGAGCTTTGCCATGACCATCTACAAAAGCCAGGGACAGTCCCTAAAGATGGTTGGCCTAAACCTGGCGTTTCCTTGCTTCTCTCATGGACAGTTCTATGTTGGATGCTCGAGAGTGAGAACTGGCAAAAATCTGTACATACTTGCCGCTAATGGCAAAACCAAAAATGTGGTCTACCTTAATGCACTACAGTGAGACAATGTGGAGCCTCCCGGAGGGTGGCGTCCTACCGTGGCCTAGCGAAAGAGCCTCCCGGAGGGCGGCGATTCCGCTAGTAATTTATATATTTAAGACTATCTTCAAACATCTGTTATTATAGTTCTTCGTGTGTGTGTGTGTGTGTAATAATAATAATAATAATAATAATTAACGGTGTGTGTGTGTGTGTGTGCAGCTTTTAATTTCCGCCTTCGAATGTTTTAGTGACAAATTCAATTAAACGTAATTTACGTTTAGGTTAGATTAAGTTACAGGTATGTGTGTACTACTGCCCGTGTAGCGTGTACTGTACTGGCCAAGTGGGTCTTTGACGTCAGGTACTGTACACAGCATTTATTTTGTGCTATAGTAAAGGTGTAATCGACATTTTGAATTTACTTCGGCAGTAACAAGTAGGTTTTCTATGGCCTTGTTGCTTATTACAATTCACAAAAAAATATTCTAAAAATAAGTCTGATTTTAGCCAGAACGAACCTGTGAGAATTGTTCTGTATCAGTGATTGGTCGGTTACTCTTACAGTAGTTTAGTTAGGTTCTCTTTTCATAAGTTGCCGAAGCACCAAGTCACAGACCACGTCCTATAAAGTCAATGTCACGTTTTGGTTATTTCTATACCGTATTAACAATCTGTACATCAATATTAACGTTTTTTCTCTCGAATATCAATGAAAACAAACTAGGAACAAGTAAACAAGCCTTGGACACACTCTCATCTTAGTCGGTTCTGTAGCAAAAACTAATTGGGAACTGGAGGTGGAGTGATAGCCCATTCCTCTCCTGGTTTAGTTAACGTCAAGTGTTTTTATTAGTCAGTTCAAGATGACGCGGCTCTGTCTTCATGACCTCTCTCACACTCCTGACGGCATTCTTTACGGTGGCCCTGGGTTCAGCGCCATTGGCCTGGAGGTCTGCCATCGTCTCCATGAGGGGCTTCCCGTTTGTCTCCGGCAGAAGGAAGACCAAGGAGCCGGCCACCATAGCACAGATCGCGAAGATCAGGCATACCACCGGCTGGTCCTCTGTCTGGTGGGAGTACACGAGCCGTTATGGTGTGTGTGTGTGTGTGTGTGTGTGTGTAATAATAATAATAATAATAATAATAATAATAATAATTAACGGTTTATTGAAAGAGCTTGGCAGCCAGAAGGCTGAAAATATACAGTTACATATTTGGAGAATGGGTTACGAATTACAAATAATATACAAGTAACATAAGTGACACAAATAAGACATATAATAACTAGATGGGGAAAGGCTCAAACTACAGTTCATTTCAACATAGTGACAGTGTAAGGAGCAGTGGTTACTGGGAGTGAGTACACTGATTTATTACAAGTTATTGATAATTTTTACAATGGTTGGGACTGGGCTGTTCTTATAGCGATCAGTTCGTGCACGTATGGGCTGGATGCGGTTGTGGTGTCGAACAGCAATTCTCGGACAAGGGATCTCAGGTGGTAGTAGGAGCCGGTGTCGGGGATGGTGTAGAAGCTTCTTACCAAATTTGCAGATGAGGTCGTGGTGATGGTCAGTGAGAGTCGAAAGGGTCAGTGTGTTGAGCGCTTCTTGATATGTGGAGTAGGAAGGGGAGAGAATAATCTTGCATGCCCTCTTTTGCACTTTTTCTAGGTGTTTACGTTGTGTGGCATTTAGGGAGGAAGACCAGGTGGGGGAGGCATAGGTGAGCTTGGGAAGTATGAATGTTGTGTAAACACTGAGGAGCTCGTGTACAGGAACTCCGAGGGACTTGAGTCGGCGGAGGAGGTGGAGACGGAAACTGGAGGATTTGACAACTTCACTGACGTGTGGTTTCCAATTTAGTTTGTTGTCTATGGTGACGCCGAGGAGCTTCGTGGAATCTACAACCTGGAGTGTGTTCGGACCTAGAGTAATGGAAGGAGGTGGGACAATGTCGGAGGAGAGGTTGATGTGCATAACCATGGTCTTGGTATGGTTGATGGTGACATGGTTGTTGGTGGCCCAGTTTTGGAGACTGTTCAATAAATCCTGAAGGGCGGTATAGTTGGGAGCAGAATTGTTGACGCTGATCCCAATGGTGGAGTCGTCGACATATTTCCAGCGAGCAGGGGTTTCTCTTAGGGCATCATTGATGAGCATAAGGAAGCAGAGTGGTCCCATCTTGGTGCCTTGGGGGACGCCACAGGTGAGTGACTGAAAGGTGGAGACAGCCCCTCGGAAGCGTACAGCTTGGCGTCGGTCACTGAGGAAGTCTGTAAGCCATGGTATAAGACTTCCGAAGCCCGAGGTCAATAGCTTTGTTGATGATTATATTGTGGTCGACTAGGTCGAACGCTTTAGTGAAATCAATGAAGGCGACAGCTACAGACGTTTTTCGTTTCTCGAGATGGCGGTATATGTAATCGAGAAAGCTGACAAGACAGTGAGTGGTGGAGGAAGTTTTCATGTTGCCAAATTGCTGAGGGTCTACGACTCCTGCAATATCAGCATAAGCCCAGTCGAACACAAAACTTTCACAGATTAGGCTGGGTATTGGGGTGATTGCAATAGGTCGTAGCTGATTTAAGGATTGTGGGCTGGTTGACTTGGGCACTGGTGATACATAAGAGGTCTTCCAGTCAGCTGGGCATCTGGCTTGACTGAGAGAAGCATTGATGATGGAGCAGAGGGGTTTGGCAAGCTCCGGGGAGAACTCCTTGAAGAGTTTCATTGGTAAGTCAATGGGGGTGGTAGAGCGTTTTAATTTTAGTTTGTCCAGGCGTTTTGCTACGTCAAATTCTTCTACTAAGTCAGTGGGAAGGGGGGCTGGTAGGTAAGCAGGGAGAGTGGTTGTGTCAAGCCGTGGGAGCGTCTGGCATATAGTAGCGAAATGGTTATTTGTTTGCTCAGCTGCGTCAACATTAGTGAGATGGCTAAGGAAGGGGAGGGGGTGTGTCTTATTGTTTAGTCCACAGAGTTCTTTAAGCTTACCATACCATTGACTGATGTTGGTCTGCTTCAGGTGTTGTAATTTGGTTGGGTAGTGGGACTTCTTTGCAGTGCGTATTTCGCGGATGACTCGGTTGCGAAGTGACCTGTAGCGGATGTGGTCATTGAGATGAAAGGCTCTGTCTCTCTGTTGCATAAGTCTTTTGATCCGAGGTGTGATCCAGGGCAAGTCAGCTGGGTGAGATCTGACAGACTTCTCGGGGAAGAAGTGGTGGTGAGCTTCCGTGGTGGTGTTGGTATAATTTATCCATTTGGTTTCCACGTCATCCACGCTAAGTACTTCAGTCCAGGGATGGTGAACTATCCACTGCCCAAAGAGGCGCACTGCAGAGTCAGTAATCGGCCTGTAGGTCTTGATGTAGGGTCTCTGTACTTGAGTGGGAGTGGCAGCTGGGGACCAGAGCACTGATAAGTGTGTGCTACACCCGATAGGAGGCATTGGTTGAGGTGGTTGGTACTGGTCCGCTAAGTCAGTTAAGATAAGGTCGAGGGTATTCTGACCGTGTGTGGGGAAGGTCACAACTTGTGATAGTGATAGCTGGTCCTGGATATCAGTGGTGTCAATTTCATTTAAATCCCCACATAATACTAACTTGGCACATGGGTACCTAACTCTGAGGTGGTCTGAGGTGGTGATGAGATGATTGATAAGAGTGTGTGTGTGTGTGTGTGTGTGTGTGTGTGTGTGTGTGTGTGTGTGGAATCCCAGCTGAAGGGTGAAGAAGCCACAAGTCCAGAAAACTGTGAAGGGTAACTTTTTCGGTGTGAGAGTTGTGAACTCTTGGAACAATCTGCCAGAGAGTGTTGTGACGGCACCGAGTGTGAGCTCTTTCAAGACAAGACTTGACCAACACTGGAGCAGGTTCAGGTACATTCAGCAGCAGGTGCATGCCCAGTACTTGCCAACAGTGCGTAATAGACGTGACCGATCGCCCAAGTGGCTAATGAGCCGATCAGTGGTGAAGAGGATAAAAGAAAAGTAAAAGTGTGTGTGTGTGTGTGTGTGTGTGTGTGTGTGTGTTATGGTTCACAAATACAAAAAAATACACTTGCACACCCAGAACAACAGGCACACCGACGCTTGTCCACATCCAAATTGACAGACGGACAGGCAGACACAAAAGCCTGTGATATTATTATTAATATTATATATATTTTTTATCCTCTTCACCACTGATCGGCTCGTTAGCCGCTTGGGCGATCGGTCACGTCTCTGTCACGCACTGTTGGCAAGTACTGGGCATGTACCGGCTGCCGAATGTACCTGAACCCGCTCCAGTGTTGGTCAAGTCTGGTCTTGAAAGAGCTCACACTCGGTGCCGTCACAACACTCTCTGGCAGATTGTTCCAAGAGTTCACAACTCTCACACCGAAAAAGTTACCCTTCACAGTTTTCTGGACTTGTGGCTTCTTCAACTTTGAGCTGTGACCCCTTGTGGGGCGAGCGCCCGCCAGCTCCAGGTAAGGACACTCGACTGAGCATTGCTTTCTGAAATGTTTATAAACTTGAATTAGGTCACCTTTGGCCCGTCTATAGTATAAGCTAGGCAGTTACAGGCGTTCCAATCTCTCTGGGTAACTAAGATGCCGTAGAGCAGGCACCAGTCTGGTGGCCCTCCTCTGGTGCCATGGACACAGCCACTCACCAGGTACTATGTCTGTGGGGGAGGGACGCACATGCTACCATGGACACACACACAGCCAAGACACATCTAGTTATGCATACACACACACACACACACACTCACCAGATAGTCTGTGATGAAGGGGGGTACACTGAATCCTATGTACGCAGCCAAGGTACACACGGCAGTACCCCATGGACGTAGGGTGGTGGGCAGCAGCTCTGGGGCGTACAGGAAGTTGACCTGGGGGGGGGAGGGGGAGAGGATTTTAGAGAGAGAGAGAGAGTTCTTCCACAAAATGTAATGGAACATGGTTTGCGTGTGTTTGTGTGTGCGTGTGTGTGTGTATAATTAGTGAAGTGTCTGTGGAGGTTGGGTTAGAACATTTGTGAAGGAAGTCATGGATGAAAATTGTCTTATAATTGTCTGAACTATTGATTGTAAAGATAAAATTCCCGAAATTCTAATTATATCCTCTGCTATAGATTGACCCAATCGAATTGGCTTAAATCAGTGTCATATATGATTAGCTTAAATGCTCGCAGCTGCCTTCTCGAGATTAATTAATTGACTTAATAAGTGAGTCAGTGTTGGCGTTCAATTGTTTTAATTAACTATACGTCTTAGGCTGGCTGTTGCTGCTCCTGTGTGTGTGTGTGTGTGTGTGTGTGTGTTTGTAATGGTCAGCATGCTCGCCTCGCAAGCGAGCGGACCCGGGTTCGATCCCCAGGCAGGGTGAAACTATGGGTAAGTTTCTTTACGCCATTTGCCTCTGTCTATCCAGCAGTAATTGGGGACCTGGATGTTAATCGATTTGCGGATCCTGTTCCGGGGTAATGGTTAGCCAGTGCAGTTGGCAGGTTGTCCGGTCTTCTCGGACTATTCCTTGACACTGGGTCATGCAACTTGTTAATTCAGGGTATGGTTGCTGTGTTGGCGACAGCTTCTACACCTTAAAACAAATTCACGTCTAGGTGGCCCTAGGGCCGGCCATCCTCGTTACACGAGGGGCAACCATTATAACTATATTCTATAAAGGTTAGTTGTAGTTAAAAATATCACTTAACCTAACATGGGTATGGTTAGGAATCTGTCCTCATTATTACTACTTTGGTGTAGTCGGGAGTTTGTCTGGTAGAGTAAACAAAATATATATAAGGACCAACTCGGATTTGCTAGGAAACTTTTGTCCATATATCAGTGAAGGTTTGTCAACATCACTTAGTTTTCTTAGTATGTTTACGTCCCTGGCCAGCTCCTATCCAGCTCTTGTCCAGCTCCTGTCCAGTAAGTGTCCAACTCTGAGACATACCAGGTCAAGGGTTGGACACACACACACACACACACACACACACACACACACACACACACACACCATATTTTACAACTTCAGCACTAAGTCAAGTTTGGTTAGTTAGTTTTTTTACGTGATTAGCTCACCAGGGCCTGGGGGGCAAAATAATAATAATAATAATAATAATAATAATAATAATAATAATGATAATGATAATGATAATAATGATAATAATAATAAAAGAATTAAAAATATCGATCAATAGTGAGAGACAATGTATGTATGTTGTGTTGTCAAGTAAGAGAAACAATTGAGACCCAGCAATTGTGTGTAAATGAGGCAGAAAGTCAGATCATCAACCTGGGACTTGGTCACATATGGCAGCAGGGTCTACCATTAGACAACACATTATGCTTCCAATATCTTCCCAGGCGGTAGTACCTCCCTGTTTGGTAGCTGCCTACTACCTACTACCTACAAGTGTAGTTTAGATTATGTCAGGTAAGTTTACATTAAGTTAGGTGGGATTGTGTCCAACAAGCGACCTCAAAGGAACACTAGTTGCCTCTCCCGCTTTCTGTTACAATGAAACGCGGCAAGACTCACCTGGTAGGCGGTACAGATGAACAAGTAACTGATCATCACCAGTGTCAGCTCCACCCACTCTATAAAGAAAGGATCATTAACCAGATAGTTTACAGCTATTACCTCAGGAAGTGTTGGTGACGTCACTGAAGTGATCTTTGGATACTACAAGTGTCTCTGGTAACCTTGGTAACTCACCGTTGCATAAGCCCGCCAAGTCAAAGACCATCTGCGTCAGGAGGAGGAAGCCACAGGTTAGGAGAGAAAAGGCAGCGACAGCGCGACGACCAAGACGATGTGTGACGGGCGCCGTCAGGGTGTAGGCAGGGATCTCCATCAACCCCAGCAGCACCATGTACAAAAACGGTGAACTGAAGAGTTAAAACACGACCAATTAAATAATATACAACACCGTTTATCAATAAGTTTCAAGTTTTCCTTCGACAATTTACAACAGGTGATGTGCAGATGATCGCTACAACAGTCACCTCAACTGAGAGTCAATCTGTCCGCTTCACCTGATGACGGAGAACCTCGACACATCGAACCTTAAGGTGGGAATCATTGCTCTATTTCACCTGATGGTCAAGATTCATTATTTATGTCACGTGGAAGCAAAGAGTGAGTTTTCTCACCTGAAGTAGTCGGCGCTCAGGGGAAGACCCAGGTAGACGACGCCCTGCAGAAACCACAGGGTCGACAGCACAGCCATCAGCTTCCTCGTGACGGAGTTGGTCATCAGAGCCATCGGTGCTGACCACCACGGCTCCTTCACCTCTCTCAGGCTCTTCTCTCTTACCCCCGTGACAACAATGCTACTTCTCCGTCTGGGTCCCTCAGGCCACACACCGTCCTCAGGCCACACACCGTCCTCCAGAATGACTTCCACGGTGCTCACCTCCTGGATTTTATTGTTCTCCTCAGAAAAGGTGGCCCCCAAGTTCCTTAACCCGCCGCCTCCTTCTTCCTCGTGTTTTACCTGACTTGCTTCTTGGCTCTGAGACAATGACACAAACTCAGCTGTTATAACTTATTATTCCCCTCACCATTACTTGTTTAATCTATAAGGTCAATAATGTTCCTCTCTGTATGTCTGTCAGTCCTCAATTCTCCATAGATTCACACAGAAACATATTGAGAATTTTCCTTATCAAATCGGCTAAAAGTTTACAAGGAAATAAAACAATACTGTATGTGGGTCAGGTTAGGTTAGGTTAAGTCCTTTCTATTAATGACACTACAAACTCCTGACATGACACTCCAACCACTGAAACAACCTGAAGAAGCACTGAAACAACCTAAAGAAGCACTGAAACAACCTGAAGGAGCACTGAAACAACCTGAAGAAGCACTGAAACAACCTGTAGAAGCACTGAAACAACCCGAAGAAGCACTGAAACAACCCGAAGAAGCAACAGCCGCAATATTACCTTATACATGTGGGGAATGGTGGCAGTGATGGTGGCAGCGATGGTAACAGAGTCAGGTAGGGTCACCTTATTGAGTACTGCACCTCGTTGTAACACCTTTACGGCCTCGTCAACTCGCCCCTGCACCACTAGCCACCTCGGCGATTCGTCCACAAACCTGACAACAAGAAGACCGCCATATGGAGCCGAGAACTTGTTGATAAGACTTTGGGCCAACATAACATTGTTTATGTGACCCTTCCGTGATAGTGTGTGTGTGTGTGTGTGTGTGTCAATAATATAAATTACTCCATGATTGAAATTTCTCCCCCAAAATAGAACTCCAAAAAGCTCATTAAGACAACAACAAAACACCCATGACCAAGAAGATAAAGCCGTAACTCTCTCGTGGTCTTGGATATGGTTAAGAAAGGATAGATCCCACTCACACGACGACTACGAGGAGGAGGAGACAGGGAATAGAGCCCATAGCCTGGAGTGTTCGCCAGTCCCTGATGAAGTACGCCATGCTGCCCAAGAACACCATCATGATAGCGTAGGGAAGGGCTAACATGATCCCTAGCGTTGGCCGTAGGCGAGGCACACACACCTCCAGACCTGCCACAGTAAGTTAGTACAGTGTTAGACCTGCCACAGTAAGTCAGTACTGTGTTAGACCTGCCACAGTAAGTTAATACTCTATGTTTGTCTTTGACACCCCCAAAATGTTCTACACTATGGAGGGTATATGCAAACACTTGTTATCTTGAAAATAGGTTCTTATTATCGTACGGGAGATATATACAGATGGACCAAGAAGCTCTCTTCTACACCATAAGGACTAGTGATCTGAACTCTCTGTATCACTCGGCGCTGGCATGTACAGATGCCAGCATTCACAAGCTGAATACATAATATGTAAATATGATAATTCACATACATAACATGGTGCATAATAAATGGAAATATTACGTAGGATTGATACATGTTCTATAATACTTTACTATACATAATTAATAGAGTAATATAAGAATACACAGCTTAAGGTACTACTTCATGTCCATATTATACAAATACAAGATGAGTTAACCTGCTAGTCTATGCGAGTAATTTATTTAATTTCATAAAACATTGAAGAAATTATCATAAAAAACTGGTAATTATATAAGTTATCATATGAGAGAGAGAGAGAGAGAGAGAGAGAGAGAGAGTCTGACTTAACTCAAAAAGCTAAAAAACAAAAACATATAAAAATCAAAAGTTAGACTGACAGAGAATGAAGACCGGGTAGACCATGACGGAGTTGAAGATCCCCAGTAGGAGCCTACAGGTGAAGAGGAAGAAGAGCCAGGGTGTTGTAATGAGCAGCACCACACTCACCACCGTACCCACCACCCCTATCCTCACCGACCACCGCCGCCCATACCTGAAACAACCATTGTGCCGTCAGTTGGTGTGTGTGTGTGTGTGTGTGTGTGTGTGTGTGTGTGTGTGTGTGTGTGTAATAATAATAATAATAAACGGTTTATTAATAGAGTTGCAGTCGGTGGCTGAAAATATACAGACTTACATGTGATTTAGACATAATGATATAATATACGTTCAATACATTTACAGGGCTGTACAGTACATAAATCAGGAGTTGTTTATTATTTTAACAATAGATGGGATGTGTGTGTGTGTGTGTGTGTGTTAGTAATAATTTCAGTACATGTCTTTTAGATCACCTGTAAATTAGACATCTCTGATTATTTCACTTGAAGATTAACGACACTAATGCTAACCAAATCAAACCTAACCTAACCTAACCAAATCTAACCTAACCTAACCTACCTTAACTTAATACAATCAAACTTAACCTAACTTAACTTAATATAACCTCCATAACGTAAATTAATTTAGGAGTTTATTCTTCATTTCAATTAAGCTTGGGTGTCTAATCTTCAGGTGAACTAAGCTGGGGGGGTGTCTAATCTTCAGTTGAACTAAGCTGGGGTGTCTAATCTTCAGGTGAACTAAGCTGGGGTGTCTAATCTTCAGTTGAACCTTTTTTTTCCTAAACGTACAAATATCTCAAGACTTCATTGGCAGGTGTTACTAAGGGAGTGATTCACCTGTGGGCGGAGATGGCTGATAAGATGGAGCCCACGAAACAGCCAAGGGTGTAGATGGTCTGGAAGAACGGTGACAACGTCTATATCTCCTATAGCTACTGTCCAATTTCCAACATAATACCCAAATAATAAATCAAAGTACACGAAAAAAAAATGAAAAACACACGATATATTTTCAATCACAAAAAGAACTACTAAAGTAAAAGGAAGAAAAAATGAATCTCTCGTTTATTTATGTTCAGTATCACAAGTTATCACTCACCCGTTGTAAGAGAAGGTGTTATTGTTAGGCAGGTTACAGGTGAATACAGGCTGAGGGTTAATGAATTCACAGCCGACGAGGAACACAGGTAAGATTGCAGGCACTGTGGGGAGGAGAGGCAGTCGTTAAGTCGTTTGGGGGCGGTAGTGGTGGTTATGGTGGTGGTGGTGGGGGTGGTGGTGGTTATGGTAGTAGTGGTGGTGGCGGTTATGGTGATAGGGATAGTGATGGTGGTGATGGTTATAATGGTAGTGATGGTGACGGTGATGATGATGATGTTCTTAGAAACATTTAAAGGATAATAATGATGCTTATTACACACACACACACACACACAGGCTATAGGCGTAATATATTTGTTATCCTGTCTTTTCTTATATACGGAAATGACAAAATATCGGTGTTTGTCTAAAATAAAATGATGGACAACACTCGCCAGAAAATAGGCATCAACTGAAGATTAGACATCTTATGAACCTTGTGAGGCATACTATGAACCTTGTGGGGCATCTTATGAACCTTGTGAGGCATACTATGAACCTTGTGGGGCATCTTATGAACCTTGTGAGGCATCATTATTTGTTTAGTCTCTAACCAGTATAGCAACCAGAGTATTATACACTATGGATGAATAAGTTTTCATTATGCATTTTACATTGACCCGCAGGAGTCAGAGATGTTTTCATAGCAAGCATGTAGTAAGTATTTATTTAGCCTGCTCAGACGCAGCTGCTCTAGTCACGCATACGGTCTGGCGAACAGTATGTCCACCAGAGATGTCTCATCACTTATTTAATAAAAGGCTCTTACTTGATAACTAAGTACATTCATTATCACTGGTAAGACCTTCAAGCATTTGATGTAAATTATTAATCAGAATAGTTAGACATTTGCAAAGTCAATTAAGGATGATTCACGGCTCTAACGAGATCATTTCCAGACAGCTTTTTCAGTAACACTGCTGACGTTGATTCAGGTGTTCATGCCAACTCTTCCTACTGGTAGAAGCTTCTAGAAGCTTGGATCCATGCATCATCCTTTCGTGACGTCACTGTCAGTTAGCCGGGGTAGGTCCGCCCTGGTATAGAACATAAGAAAATAAGGAGTCTGCAATAGGCCGGTTGGTCTGTGCATGGCAGCTCCTGTCGAGAGTTACTACCACTCTCTATCATCCATGAATCTGTCTAGCCTCCTTTTAAAACTTTCCAGCGTTCCAGCACTTACTATAAAGTTGCTAAGCTTGTTCCACTCGTCCACCACCCTATTTGTGAACCAGTTTCTTCCTATCTCCCTCCTAAACCTAAACTTATCCAACTTGAATCCGTTGCTCCGAGTCCTATCCTGCTCGGATATTATAAGAACTTTATCGATATCCCCTTTATTGATTCCTTTCACCCACTTAAATACTTCTATCATATCTCCCCGCACTCTTCGTCTTTCTAGGGAATGCAAGTTTAGTTTCTTTAACCTATATTGATATGGAAGGTTTCTAAGTCCCGGAATCATTTTCGTCAATCTTTGCTGCACCGACTCGAATCTTTAGCTGGACACCACACATTACTGATCTACCACTGAGCAGTAGCCTGAGAGACCCCTTCAGTCTTAGCAGATCTAAATAGTATCTCTAACACTGCTCTCAAGCACTCAGTCCCCAGAAGATGTGAATTACACGAAAGCGCTTGGGAACTTCCTGTTTTCTTGTTTCCTTGTGGTTATCAGCATATATATATATATATATATATATATATATATATATATATATATATATATATATATATATATATATATATATATATATATATATATATATATATATATATTGATAAAATCACACGGGAAAATGGAAAAAAATCCTTTCATTCCTCTCAAACCAGACAAGTTCCTACACTTAAGAATATTTTGACTCTGCCCTATCGTAATGGATTTGTCCCGTTAGTTCGGTCCCTCAAGCTTCTAAATATTAATGTTGTTTTTAAGTATGACTCAACCATTAACAATATTTTAATAAAGAATAGCCCAAGTTTGAATGTAAATGGAAATGTTTATTGTATTCCATGTAGCAAATGTAATTGTAATTATGTAGGTCAGACAGGAAAAACACTGCAGCTCATAATCCAACAACATAAGTATAATATCAGAACAGCATCTGAAAGCAGTGCCTTGTTCGTTCATGTTAGGAATATTAATCACCCCATTGCTTGGGAAAAAAGCTTAGAAGTATTTAAATCATCTTGTGTCACAGAAAGACGTCTGGTTGAAGCTAGTTTGATTAAGGAGTTAAAATCAATAAACCTTAGTGATGGTCAGTTCAAAACTGATATGTTACATAAATTTATTTGTCAGTGGCCCAAGGTTAAAAATGCTTTGAAAACCTTTGATCTAGATGTAAGATAGTTATTTTGTGGGTCCCTTATTTTTGACCTGACCTGACTAGTCACGTCACCCCCCTTCTCTTAAGCTCCTCTACGTGTGGATTAGTGGATGACATCATTATGACCTGACCTCATGTTTTTAAGGTCACCCTGTATATTTAAGCCTCTCTCTGTCCATGTAATCCAGTTGCCTCTGAAGATGTCTTGAATAAAGACGAAAGCTAAGGTGCTCCGTTGTTTCCATTTTCCCGTGTGATTTTATCAAGATTTATCTTATCCACGTTTTCATTGTGGATTTACATGATATATATATATATATATATATATATATATATATATATATATATATATATATATATATATATATATATATATATATATATATATATATATATATATATATATACAAGTAAATCACTGTAGGTGCGCGTGATCCAAGTATATTCACAGATACTCACAGATGATCTTCTGGAAGAGGCTCACGCCTGTGACTCCAGCTCAATAGCCTCTTCTCTACTCAGACGATGGCTGCGTGTGGCGGATATTTGTGCCCTATAATTATATACTTGTTCTTGATTTTTCCAGTATTTATCTAATTTTGCTTCAAACTTTTCCACCGTCTCCACATTCACTACCCACTCAGGTAACCCATTCCAGTTGTTGACAACCCTACTCGGGAACGAATGTCTTCTGAGATTTAGCCTCGCTCTTGTTTTGTAATCTTCTTTGTGTTCCCCGGGTAGTGTCATCCTCCCTCATCTGGAACATTCCTGCTATACATGCCTGGTCATATATGTCACACACTATCTTGTATGTTTCCACTTGGTCCCCACGAGGTCTTCTGTACGCCAGTGTGGGAAACTGTAATTACCTTAGTCTTTCCTCATAAGATCAATTCTTGATCTGTGGTACTAATTTGGTAGCCCTCGGTACATTCTCTACTGCTTCAATATCCTTAATGAGATATGGGCACCAAATTTGATTAGCATACTCAAGGTGTGGCCTAACCAGAGCAGTGTACAGAGCCTTGAACATAGGTGCATCCAGATGAACAAAAGTTCTTCTAATAATGCCCACTATTATATTAGCCTTGTTGATTTTCTCAGCTAGATGGTCAGAGAACGTCAGCTTATCATCGATGTCTACCCCTATATCCTTCTCTACAGTGGTCTTCTTGATCATGGTGTACATATGATATCCATGGTCAACAACTTTTGTTCTTCCTATCCTCATGTATTTACTTTTTTCTGGGTGAAAGTTCAGCATCCACTTCTCAGTCCAACCCCTGATCCCATCCAGGTCCTCCTGCAGCGTGTCACAATCCTCATCTCGTTCGATTTTCCTAAAAATCATTGTGTCATCCGCATATAGATATACCTCACTGTCGTGTTTAATTGCCCCAGGCAGGCCATTGATAAAAAGGACAAACAGCAGGGGGCCGAGGACAGAACCCTGAAGGACCCCACTAGTGACCTCCCTCCAGTCAGATACTTCTCCATTTACCACAACTCTCTGTTTTCTCTTAGTTAAAATATTCCTTACTCAATCAAGATATTTTCCATCAATGCGATAACTAGATACTTTTTCTAATAGTCTTTGGTGGGGTACTCTATCAAAAGCCTTCATGAAGTCACAATACACTTATTTAGATCTGCTAGGACTGAAGGGGTCTCTCAGGCTAGTGCTCAGTGGTAGATCAGTAATGTGTGGTGTCCAGCTGAAGACTGACTAGCTATACCAGGGCGGACCTACCCCGGCTAACTGACAATGACGTCACGAAAGGATGATGCATGGATCCAAGCTTCTAGAAGCTTCTACCAGTAGGAAGAGTTGGCATGAACACCTGAATCAACGTCAGCAGTGTTACTGAAAAAGCTGTCTGGAAATGATCTCGTTGGAGCCGTGAATCATCCTTCATTGACGTTGCAAATGTCTAACTATTCTGATTAATAATTTACATCAAATGCTTGGAGGTAGGTGATACGAGACTTACCCAAGAGGGCGGCGAGGATGAATAAGTAGTTCCAGGGACCCATACCCAGCTGAGTGAGGATCAAGTCGACCCCATCCACAGAATCCATCTTCACTGCAAGTGCAACAAATTCATATTAAAACATACTTTACTATTTTTTTTTACTTTTATCCTTTTCACCACTGCGACGTCGGCTCGTTAGCCGCTTGGGCGATCGGTCACGTCTCTGTTACGCACTGTTGGCAAGTACTGGGCATGCACCGGCTCCTGAATGTACCTGAACCTGCTCCAGTGTTGGTCAAGTCTGGCCTTGAAAGAGCTCACACTCGGTGCCGTCACAACACTCTCTGGCAGATTGTTCTAAGAGTTCACATTTCTCGAAAAAGTTTGCCCTCACAGTTTTATGGACTTGCGGCTTCTTCAATCTTAAACTGTGACCCCTTGTGGGGCGAGCGTCCGCCAGCTACAAGTAAGAACACTCGACTGAGTAGTGCCCCTCGAGATGCTTATACACCTCAGTTAGGTCGCCTCAGTAACATGTCATTCTAGTCGTTAGCACATGCTGCTTGCAGCACACACGTTTCCTGCAACACGTGTCAATGTACTGATCACTTTTGTACATGCTAGTATGTAAGCAGTTTAGTCTTGTTTAGTCTCTAACCAGTATAGCAACCAGAGTATTATACACTATGGATGAATAAGTTTTCATTATGCATTTTACATTGACCCGCAGGAGTCAGAGATGTTTTCATAGCAAGCATGTAGTAAGTATTTATTTAGCCTGCTCAGACGCAGCTGCTCTAGTCACGCATACGGTCTGGCGAACAGTATGTCCACCAGAGATGTCTCATCACTTATTTAATAAAAGGCTCTTACTTGATAACTAAGTACATTCATTATCACTGGTAAGACCTTCAAGCATTTGATGTAAATTATTAATCAGAATAGTTAGACATTTGCAAAGTCAATTAAGGATGATTCACGGCTCTAACGAGATCATTTCCAGACAGCTTTTTCAGTAACACTGCTGACGTTGATTCAGGTGTTCATGCCAACTCTTCCTACTGGTAGAAGCTTCTAGAAGCTTGGATCCACGCATCATCCTTTCGTGACGTCACTGTCAGCTAGCCGGGATAGGTCCGCCCTGGTATAGCTAGTCAATCTTAGCTGGACACCACACATTACTGATCTACCACTGAGCAGTAGCCTGAGAGACCCCTTCAGTCCTAGCAGATCTAAATAGCATCTCTAACACTGCTCTCAAGCACTCAGTCCCCAGATCAAGTGGCCAGCCTCTGTATATATATATATATATATATATATATATATATATATATATATATATATATATATATACACTAGCGGAATCGCCGCCCTCCGGGAGGCTCCACATTGTCTCACTGTAGTGCATTAAGGTAGACCACATTTTTGGTTTTGCCATTAGCGGCAAGTATGTACAGATTTTTGCCAGTTCCCACTCTGGAGCATCCAACATAGAACTGTCCATGAGAGAAGCAAGGAAACGCCAGGTTTAGGCCAACCATCTTTAGGGACTGTCCCTGGCTTTTGTAGATGGTCATGGCAAAGCTCACTTTAACCGGGAACTGAAGTCGCTTGAACTCAAATGGCAGGTCAGTGGTGATGAGAGGTATCCTTGGTATAAAAACGTCCTCTCCTTTAGCTTTTCCTGTCTGTATTGTAGCTTCCAGTACATGTGGCATCATGTTCTTCACCACCAGTCTTGTGGCATTGCAGAGGATTGGTGGTTCAAGATTTCTTAAGAGCATTATAGGAGTTCCAATCTTGAGAGTGAGGCGGAGAGGAGGCAGTCCAGCGGGCTCCAAAGAATTAAGGAATTCTGCAGGGTACTGGACTGCTTGGTCCTGGTCGATTACTGTATCAACAGATATGAATGAGTTCTCACTGCCTGGAAGCTGTCTGGGTAGAGTCATGTTGATTTCAGCCACTGTTTCATTCTTTGGTGCCAGAATAGCGCGTTCATGCAGCCACTTGCGATCCTTGTACAGGAGTGGTGGATAATGTTTGGGTAGACCATGTTAGTGAGCTCAGTTGAGGACTTTACAACATTTCCACATCCTTGAGGAATGATTATTTGTCCTTCTGAATCAACAGGGAAAGTTCCATTCCCAATCTGTAGTAGAAGGTTTGCAAACCGTCCAGCATCCTGATCTCCTTGTAGATGTACTCTCATGTTTGTGGATAGAGTGAGTGTCTGAACACTTCTCCGGATTTAGGTTAGTTTAGATTTGGTTAGATAGAAGTTGGTTAGTTTATGTTAGATTGGGATAGCTTTGGTTAGGTTATAGGTTAAATTAGACTAAGTTAGGTTAGGTTAGAAGAAGGGTGTTTAATCACCAGGTGAAATAAATTGGGGGAGCTAATCTTCATGTGACCCGTCTATAGCTATATGCAGGGAGTTTCAGAAAGAGTTATATAATTTCAATGTTCTGTCATTTCACTGTTTATAACGATATACCCTTCTGTTTCTCAGGTCATGGTGGTGGTGTTGTGACATGTAAAATATATCATCAGCAGGACTCTCAGTCAAGCATGGTGTTCAGTAAAGACCACAAAGTAAAATCTTTAATTGATGGTTTGAGGTTAAATAATAGGTGGAAGTACGCCGGCGGTTCTGTCATGAAAACAATCTCCCCATGCGCACTGGACCTTCAAATTGTGATATAAAGCGATTTGTGGAGCAGTTTAAAACAAATGAAGTTTGGAAAACCGTAGTGAAGGCAATAGTGGTCACCCATTAATTATCACAAAGAGCCAAGTCAACATTAATCTTGTCAGAGATTCAGTTATCAACAGCCCCAAGAAATCTTATCAGCTCCACTGCCAAGAACTGACTATCTCACCCCCATCTGTGTTGCGCATTCATGCTCGTGCAGGATGGTGTCCCTCAGCTGGAGAAACTCGATCTGCTTCACCAGTTGTTCGGAAACCGGCTGATCAGTCTGGACACAGCACACGAGTGGGCGTCACATAGCCCCGATCTCAATCCCCTTGACGTTTATTTTTGGGGAGCTGCCAAGGGCACAGTCTACCCTAATACACCCCGAACACTCGCCCCTGTAAAGCAGGAGGTGGTAGAGTTTGGCCAGGCAGTCACCCCAACCACCTGCAGTACAGCTGCACAGAACTTTGGCGTCCGCGTCAAGGCCTGTTTAAACAGAGGCGAGACACACATTGAAATCGTGTATTACAAAAAGTTTGCTTTAATGATTTAAAATGTCATAATATGAACTTTGAGTCAATGTATAGATCAGTATTCTGTGATTAATAGTTTTTTTTTATAAAAGTTTCAAATCATGTAACTTTTTGAAACGTCCTGACATGGTAGTACAGTACCACGTTGGAAACACCGCTTCTTGTTCCATCAGCGAAGTGAAGTTTACATTTCCAGGAATCTTTAATATTGGATTTTGATTTGAACGAGTTCTTAAGTTTCTGGCCTCAGGAATAAGTTAAGTAATATCATGGCCCCATAGATTCTTTGATCTTGTTTTGGCGATATAAGCGACCTAAATATTGTTTTTATTTAAAAAATAAAAACAACCTTTGAAGGAGTTAAGTCTTACAGAATGCTAAAAATTCTACCAAAAGTGGTTGAAAACGCCTTAGTTAAGGACGTTCAGGTGACGGGCAAGTCGAAGGGAATGATTGAAACCCATCTTTTGACGCATTTAATATTTATTGATGTGGTCAAAACCTGCAGACAACAAGGCGTTCATTAGTAGTATATAGTGATCTATCTGAGACATAATTAGTTAGTCTCACACAATTTATCTTAATTATAATTGATTATTGAGCATAATGACATGATACAAAGTTCATAACTCTATCAATCTTAGCTACACTTCATTCCGCGTTGTCTTATTGCTCTAGATAAGGCAGGAACGAGTGGGCATAATTAGTCCACAATATTTCAGTAATGAGGGGTATGTCATCACTTTGGCTGTACTTACAAGTGCGGGTCAAAGCGAACCAGTATGGTGTTCCAAGGGAAGATAGTTCTGTGTAAATTGTTTCAGTACAAAACTCGGCCAGGATTGGGAGTTGTTGTTCACCACTGCTAGCAGAGTGTTGATCCTCAGAGCATCACTTGAGGGGGCAGTCTCCTAGAGTCCAGGTGGCCACGCCGCCTATTAAACCATACATTAGCAGAGTCATGACCTCTTCTCCGTAAACACCACTCAAACCCTAATCTTTGTTCGGGTAAGGCAGTAAAAACGTCAGCACTGATGCCAGCGGTGAAAACACTCCCGGCGATGACAGCTCTTACGCCAGTGGCGATGACACTGCTGGCGGTAAACACCGTCCCCCAGCTGCCACATCTGTCGAGGTAACAGGTCGCGTGGTGGGGGGGCATCACTGAGAGGGCGACTTGTGTCATGAGATCCAAGACACCCCCTCCGCGCCCCCGCCAGTGGTGAGGACACTCCCGGTGGGAAACACCCCCCCCCCCCCGCTATTGCAGTATAACAAGTAAGTCTCATTCGATCTCAGACAGGGTTTAGATAGGGCAGTGATAAAGTTAACAAGAGCTAAAAGTAAATTCATTTCAGGGTTTCCGTCAGAACCCACTTGACTGCTAGAGATTGACTGATAGAGATTGACTGCTAGAGATTGACTGCCGTTTGAGACTGCTGTTGATGATATGATGATTAGCGACTGTCGCCGTTGGAATGATCAGTGCAGGCTTGTCACTGGTTAGCGGGGTAGCAAAGGATCTCTTGAGTGAACGAGTGCTCCCGACAACTAAAACGACACGGGACCAGCATCAGCAGTGGGTGATCAGCTCTTACCACTTGGGTGCACAACACCACGTGTCCTCGGTCAGCTAGAAGTATTACCTACATAAGAAAATAAAAACATAAGAATGGAGGAAACTGCAGCGGGCCTATTGGCCCATACTGGGCAGTCCCGTTTACACCCAACCCCTATTGCTCATATAAGCATCCAACCTATGTTTGAAGCTATTCAGCGTATTCGAGTTAATGATGATATTTGGTAACTTGTTCCATTCAACCACTACTCTGTTTACAAACCAATGTTTACCTATTTCGCGCCTAAATCTAAATTTGTCT